TGAGAGCTTCGGGTTTGCCGGTGGGCAGGTGCCAGGCGAGCATCGAACCTGTGGCCGCCTGCGGGGCGAGGAATGTGAGGGAGTCATTCACTTCTCCATCGATGGGCCTGGCGGAGAGCGTATTGAAGCTATAAAGATGCGCCATTATTATCTCGACCCTTACCCTGGATGGTTCAGGAAGGGACCATGGTTCAGTGCAAGGTATGTCTCTGCCCCCTTACTCTGTCGCCACTGAGCGGGACGGCTCATCCCCTTCATCCGTCAAGATTTACACAAACCGCGGGAGATCATGCCTCATCTTCAATTCTCTCAACTTCAAACGCGGAAATGCTAGCATCCGTACAAAAATCAAAGCTGGTCCGGGCGCTGTCATTACTGGTCTTTATGCCACCGAGGTACGTAGGACTCATACCTCACACCAGGTTGCTGCGACTGACAACAGCTTGGGGTACAGCGCCCTGAAGTAGGACACGGAATTACGGCCATAGGGGTAACAGCGGAAGACATTGGGGACGCCGACACATAGACTCCGGGCTGTGTGCTGGCTCGAGAATGGAAGATATGGACGAACTGAGCCGAGACAGTTCGAGCGCGATGTTTTTGGAAGTACGAGGGGCGTCAACATGAAGTTGGCTATCCTACACCTACTCGGTCGGGCTCGGCGGAGACTCGTCGGAGACTCGTAGGTTTGGCGTTTATGTAGCCCGACCGAGTACTAGTAGTCTCGCAAGTAACAGAGTCAGAACCGGACTCTAGGTTGACATACTATCCTTAGATGATATGGAAGTGATTAAGGAATAGGCAATACTGCATTTTGTTCCCATCCAATTAAACCGAGGCCTGCGTTCTCCAAGATATGTATGTACCCGAGTGTGTGATGTGATGCTTGCTGCATTGTCTGGGAATGACAACCGATGACGTATGTTCACTCTCGATCAAGATCATCCCACAACAAATGGGACGTGAGGCTCGCTTCAAAGACCTTAGTCAAGTCATCATCCCTGATCCGAACTGCTGTTTCCATATTCCGAACCCAACTACGATTTCACAACCTCACTTTGCAACACCACTGGAGACCGAAACATGGCCACACCATCAGATCCCCCGCCGTCGTACGACGAGGTTGTCAATGGGGGCCCCGACTCACTCCCGCAGCAAGTCCGCAACGGCATCCCGCTCCACGCCCGCCGCAGCATGGAAGACGAACTGCGGCCGCTCCCCCAAGGCTGGGTTCGCGAATTCGACCCCGAAACCCAGCACCAATTCTTCGTCGACACCAACGCCGCGCCTCCCCGCTCCATCTGGCACCACCCGTACGACGACGACATCTACCTCGACTCGGTCCCCGCCGACGAACGCGAAAACGTCCGCGCCACCTTCTCAGGCCCGCACCGCCGACCAAGCGGCGCCGACATCGCAGCCGAGCACACCGACGAGGACGACGACGACCCCGACACCGACTCCAACTTGAACAACAGCAAAAAAGACCAGCGCAGCCTCGGCCGCAAGCTCAAGGACAAACTCACGGGCACCACGCACCAGCAACGCTCGGTCGAGCGCGAGCGCCGCGCCGCCGCCGAGCTGGAACTGTACCGCCAGCACCGCGCCCTGCGCCGCGCCATGCTCGAGGCCATGCGCTCCGGCCGGCCGCAGCTGCTGGGCCGCGACGAGAACCGGACGCACGTCTATCTGGAACCGCCGGGCCACACCTTCCCCGGCGTGACGGGCGTGCGCCGGCTGAGTCCGTATCTGAGCGAGGTCGTGTATGACCGGGAGGATGGGCGGAGGCCGGGTCCGCATGGCCGTTATCTAAGGCCTGAGGGGGACATGTACGGGGTGGGCTATGGGGGGTATGGGTGTGGGCGGTTTGCGGGGGGCCGGTATGATCGGCCGGGTGTTGGGTATTCGAGGATGGCGGGGAGGGGGTATGGGGGTGGGTTTGGGTTTCCGATGATGATGCCTATGATGGGGGGGATGATGCTTGGGGGGATGATGGGGTCGGCGATGATGTGAGTTGTTCAACAGGTAGCAGTTAAATCATTATGGGTGGAGAATTGGAGTATTGGTAACGGACGGCATGTGGGATAGTGTATATCCTAATTATGAGTTGCTTTCAGACTCTTTGATATCGTGGGTTTTGAAAGAACTTAAGAAACACGCCAATCCCCTTTCCTCCTTGACCATCTCATCGAGTGCCTTCATTTCTCCGTCTTAGGCCGCGTTCAGCACCCAGTCAGGGTCTCCCAGTTCAGATCCGCCGTCATCAAACGTGCAACTGCCAAAAATCACACCACATTAGCACTCGGAAGTTTCAGTTCATACTCAAGAAAACTTACCAGTCGTCCCAACAAGCGTCCATGCCCCCCAGCTCTTGGCCCTCTGCCACGCCGGAGCCCTGGGCAGAATCCTCCTCGTTTTTGACCGGAAGCTCGACAAGCTTGTTGCAAGGGACGCCAGTGGTGTACTCGTCGGCGTCAAACTCATAGGCAATAAGAGCAGCACGCGCGGTACCAAAGAACCGCACATAAGCACAGTCCTTGTCGTTGAAGTCACACTTCTCAGCCGCCTTCTCCTTGCAAGCAGAGCAAGGGCCAGACTTCGAACCCTGATAGTCAGGGTTGTTCTGGTGGAACTTGGTCCGGCTTTGAGTGATGTGAATCGCGTCGCCCTTCATGTTGATGACCCAACGACTGTCGCCAGGGCGCTGGAAGTAGACCACAGCCTGGTCGTTGATGAGCTCCAGGTGAGCCTTTACGACCGTGGCAGACTTCTTGGCTTCGGCGTCTCTCTTCTCCTTCAGAGCTGCTTTCTTGAGAGCATCATCTTTCTTGGCAGACTGGCGTCTCTCTTCCCGATCCTTCGCCTCTTGCCGTTTCTTGTTAGGGATGGAGGGAATGTTGAACGTCTGTTGATAGCGTTTTCTCGAAACTGCATCGAGTCTCTTCTTGGCCTCGTCGATCATGGGTAGGATACCGTTCACCCAGGCAACAGTCTTGGCCAAAACTGGAGCAGGCGGGCGGCCACCGACATTCTTGTTGGTCTTGGGATCGACAGGCTGACCGTCCTTCAGGATGATGAAATCGTGCGAAGTCTTGTAGTGTTTCTTCAGCGACTCGGGCTGCATCTTGTTGGCTTGGACGCAGAGTTCGTTCGTGCCCTCAATCGGAGCACGGCAGAAGACTTCTCCGTAAAGAGGCTCGACACCAAACTTGACTTTGCCACCCGAACCATCGTCGATAGGTGTCAGCTCAATGGGAGGGAGGCCTGATGGACGACCCTCAAAGCCGGCGTACTGCATGTACGTAAGGTTGGACCTGAGCAAAGCCGCCATCTTGCCGACTTTTGGTGGAAACGAAACGCCTGTCTCTTCCGTCTGTGGTGTGGTATGTAATCTCAATAGATGTGTTTTGGTGTGCTTGGGGCTGTGTTGACCACCTGTGGCCAGTTGGCCACACGCGGATCAGGGCGCAAGCCCACCGGGCACCACCTTCTGCAGGTGAAGTGGTCTCCCAACACTTCAGTTGCACCTGCATGTTGCGTCACTCACCACCACAATATTACCATATTGCTGTGTCCCCTCTCTTCAGTGCACGTTGCACTCTCACATAAAACCCTGAAGTTGGGGCCCAATGATCTGTCATGAAATAACCGGAGAGTTCAAAAGCGAGCTGCTGAGGGGGGGTCGCAATGCTAGGCGCGAGTCCAGAACCATTTCCATAGTAAGACTTGAGTTAGAGAGGGTGAAAGGGCAACCGTTCTGGGGCAAAAAACAACAAACGGTTTAACAATCTCAAATTGGGGGTTGGAACTAATATCGCAGAGATGCTGAGTGCACTTGAAAGGTTGAGCCTTCAAATCGGCCACCAATAATAATAATAAAACAATGGCACGGTTCATGGTTTTTCATGCAATCCACAGCTGTCATTGTACAGGCTACGTCTACTGACCATCGTCTGATGAAATGATCAGTCAAATTGCAGACAGACATGTGGGTGGGGAAATTGAGTCACACCGAGTGTAGCCGGTGTATTACTGCTTGGGAATCCCCCCCATCGAGAAACTGCTGTTCTTTGTAATCCTCTAACTTGATAGTATTGAATATATAAAAGTCCCGGAGCACAGGTAAAACGAATCGCAAAACACTTCTTCACGCCTATTTCGCCGTCAACTCCAAGTCATGTATTGACTATCGTTCCGGTCAGCTTTCAAACCAACACCATGACAGACGCCCAATCGCACCTCGACCCAGAGCTTTTCGAGCTGTGCGTCCGCGCCTTCGACTTTCTCCCAGCCTCGGACGAGAACCACACCGTCGCGGCGGCAGTGCGCAGCCACTCGGGCAAGACCTTTGTCGCGCTCAACGTCTACCACTTCACTGGCGGGCCCTGCGCAGAGCTCTCGGTGCTCGGGACAGCTGCAGCGAGCGGGGTGCTTGCCAGTGACATTGAAACTATTGTTGCCGTTTGCAGGCGGGAGGGTAATGTCTTTCGGGTCATCAACCCCTGTGGCAGGTGCAGGCAGACGTTACTTGACTACAACCCGGAGATCAAGGTCATTGTTCTGAATACGGAGGGGAAGGAGGTGATGGCCAAGGTGAGGGATTTGATGGTGTATGCTTATGTTTGGGAGGACGGAAACACGGGGAGGAAGGAGGAGGAGAAAGTCCCGAGGGATTTCGGGAGTAGGGTGCGTGACGATGAGCAATCCTCAGAACTCCCCCTTGTAGCAAGTCGTGTCTCATTATGAAATTTAGCCCTCTACGAAATCACTGAAACTGACTGAGAGCATGGATGGTGCTAATTCCACTTTGCGGGGCTCATGACTGTTTGATTGAGGCCCTGCAAGGTTGTATCACGATCTTGAAAACACCCAACGCTTGCACTTGTTTGCTGAAAACGGCGCGTTTTGGATCGTCCGTCACAAAAAGCACAATGACGTTGACGTTTGGGCTTTCCACATCTTATAAACCCTTTTGCCAAGGTTGCAAACACAACTTCAAAGCCTGCTTAGCATAGTGGCTAATGCGTTGCACTTGTATCACCTCGACGACATGCAAAGATCACAGGTTCGATTCCTGTAGTAGGCAACTACTTTTTCCCTTCTCGCCCTCCCCAACCCCCCTCTTTTTTTACCCCTGACCCCGTTTGTTTCCACACCGTTCCAAATCCCTTGACTGAATAACTGCCCTGTAAAATTACAAACATGACATTGAACCTGGTGTCCCTATGCCCCTCCACCACCCCCTTTACCTTTACCAAGGCGTTTTTCACGATACCTGCGCGCATACGCCTCAGCCGTGATTCTCTCCCGCTGGAGAAACTCCTCGGGGATCGGCGGCCATGAGATTCCTGTGGGGTGCGGGTACAGAATCTGAGGGTGCTGCTGCCGCGGGTGCCTGAGCACAGGCGGCTGCACGGTGGCGCGCCCCGCAGTGACCGCGTCTGTTGCCTCCGCGGCGGAATCCTCTGGGAAGTAGGCTTCGTAAGGTAGCAAGGAATCCAGGGAGTCATCATTGGGGGCAGGAGGATCCGGGGGGGCTGGAGCGGTTGGAGCGGCCGGAGGTGCCGGAGGTGCCGGAGGGGGAGGCGGTGGTAACTGAGGTGCCGGAGGGCGAGGCGATGATGTCGGCGGTGAAGGCAGCGATGACGAGAGCGACGACGCGTACAATGGTGGCAATGAAGGCCCAGGTCGAACTTCGTCCAGCTCCTCTTCGACTATACCGGCGCCCACGATGTGGGCCTGGACTTTCTCAACACAGCCGGAGAATGCTTGGGAGAACTCCTTTTCCCTTATCACCTTGAGGCGGGAGTCGACTGTGTCCCAGTCCCGCCGATGATAACGGGAAATGCGGGTCACACAGTGGTACGGCATGGTTGTTTCTGGTCTTTGTGTCCAGCGCACCGACTCCTCCTGGTCGCTGCCGGCGTACGTGTTGAGGTAGCTATCGGCCATGGCGATCATGGTGCCGTACGCGAAGTCATTGGAGGGGAAGTTGGCCCAGTCTTGCGGTGTCGTCTCCCCGATATTCTTGAACCATTTTCCGTCCGCGTTCAGCTCGGCTATGCGCCGGAACTTGTCCCAGCAAACCCCGAGTCTTGGGCTGTAGTTGTTCGGCATCCACTGGCTCAAATCATAGTCTGTTGCGTCCGGGCTTGCTTTGACTGCCCCCTCGGGAACCTGGGCGATAAGCAGCGCGAAGAGGGCGGAACCGAGGTCGGACTTGTCCCTGAGCGTCTCTGGCTCTGGCATGTCTGGGCAAACGTCATCGTAATACATGTGCGTGCGGTCGTTTTGGGCCTGAAATGACTGGCCAAAGTCGCCGAGAATGATTTGCGGCAGCGCGTCGGTAAACTTCTCTAGTCGAGGGTCCGCGATCTTTTCTTCGTCGGTTGGGTAATGCAGCCATATGTTCCCGGAATGGGCGTCCATGTGGGAGATGGCGTTCCAATCGAGGACCCGCTGCGATCTGTTGACTGGTTCCCCAGCCCACCCAATGCTACCTTCGTGGGCAGAATTATACTCTCTCGAGGGGATGTGGCCGGTATGCATCCACGAGAGCGCCCGGCCGACCTGGGAAATCAAGTGCCAAATGAAGCCCTCGGGTACCTTTCTGTGCGCATGTATGTACTTTTGCGCCAGATCCCAGAGTGTTCCGCCGTTGTAGTACTTGTAAAAGAGCGTGATATTGGCGTTTTTCTTCTCCGGGCCCTCGGAATCATTCCCCTCTACCATCTGCCCTAGGTCGTGGACCTGGCACGCATGTAGCTTGACAAACGATGTGGGCTCCATGTGGTCATGCTGCAATGGTAGCTGGCGCTGGACGAGCGGATCACTACCGTCCAGCGAGGATTGCTCAACCTCGGCTGCCATGGGATTGTCTTCATCGGCAGCTTGTTCCGTTCGTGTGATTGACGTCAGCTTCTTGATGGCGACCAGCTCTTGCGGGCGGTCGACACTGGCGAAGAGCCCAACAACCGCATCTGGGTGTTCTTCCTGGTTATTCTGTAGCCAGCGGATGAATATGAACCCCTTGGGCCGCTCTCGCAGGTACCGAGATGATTCGTGATTCTGGTCGTTGAGGAGATGCTGCCTTTCAGGGATCTCGGGTTTTTCCAGGGGTAAGAAAACAAGAGTGTGGTGCGAGTACTTGAGTGCGGGTCCGGACGACATTGTGATCGAGATAGCCCAGGAGGGGATTCCAAAATGAAGGTTGAGCTGAGTGTTGAAGAGAGATAGATTCCTTGTTGGATTCTCTGTCTCGGCCTGGGAACAATAAGTACTTAATGAATTTATGCTGTTTCTTTGTTGTCGAGAACCCAACCCCTCTTTCACTTTAGCTGCGTCGGCGACAAAACACACAGTCCGGAAACGTCACGCTCCCCAGAGTGACTCTGCCCTAGGGACAAAGAGACGCCCGTTGCTTAGATCAAACACAAACCATAATATCACCGGATCAGTCATGGAGAACAAACTTATAGACACATGAAGATCACAACATGTCCCACAGCAAAGAGTCATTCTTTGACGAAGCTGCGTTGGTCAGACTTCTAGAAGCTTGCTCCCAGACTGGAATGCAGCCACTTCTACTTGGTAGTCCGGGACAGCAGAATAGCGTCCCGCTGCAACATACCCCGCACAATTCGAGGCGGGTAGCAGCCAATGGCCTGAGACGAATTAGAGGCTCACTATTTCCGTTGGTGGACGTGGTCCTGAGCTGCTGTTGCTTTGGCCCAAGGCGGAGTATGCAGGTGTAGGTCCGTCTTGTAGGACTACTTGAAGTTCATGACTGGTTCGGCAGCACTGACCGACCGAGGAGATGCTGAGAGATCCAGAATTGATTCCGCTCATTAGTTCACTGCACCGCATCCTCGTGCGTCTTCGTATCACTTTGGGGGGGATTAAGGGGGGCGGTTGGGGGAAGAAGATGCATTTCGATCCTTAAGGACCAGTTCAAGACTCTCTCGTAGAAGAGTACCTGGTAATTCTCCCTTAATGCAGCAATTTACCTGACGCCCGACAGCTTTGGGGGCCTGGGGCCCAATCTCAATTTCGCTTGTTGGACCTACAATAACTACAGGCCAACATGTTACACACCATAGATTATACAACCGCCGTGGCTTGCCTCGGATGGCGCGTCAAGTCGATAATCCCAATGAGCTAGGATTGTCGACTATCACCAGCCGCGTTGAAAGCGCCGGACGCAGAGAGCCAGAATCAAACAAGTGTCAGTCTATCACACCGGACCTCAGCTAGCCACCGGGATGTACTCGCACAGATCGGGAAAGCGGCTGTCGCGAGTCACCAGCTGAAGTGCGGGATCCGATCGGCTCATGCATATGCAGGGCTTCCGCATGCTACTTCGGCCCGCCGCTAGGGGCTGTTCTTGGTGCCGGGTTGGTGCATCCCCGCTTCCACAACTCCATGGGCGGCTGTCGCGGGTTGACAAAAGGCTTGGAGGCAGCCTGTGGCTCACATCTTGGCTCCACAACCTATTTCCCGGTTTGACGAGATTATGCGGTAATCAGACTGGAGAAGAATTAGAAGACTACGGCGGGCGGGGGGGGCAGTGGGGGCCGGGTTGCCACTTGTTGCAGAGCTCGAGAGAACAATGACATACCTTAAATAGAGAGCAAAACAGCCATGCCCTTGATGTTCTCCTCCACTCGACGTGAACCACCCATTAATTATATCCATCCCGGACTGATAGTTGCCCCTATACCTTGGTTTCTCACTTCTCACTGGCAGCATTCTTGTTCCTCAAAACCAGCCATGGCGGCAAACACCGAACAACTCGATGACACCCTCCTGGGTGCCCAGCGGGGCTTGCTCATGCGGGCCGTGTTTGGGCAGGCCCTGACCCTCTACCTCAAGGACAAGGGGGAAGGCACCTGCGAGACGGTCCTCGGTATTCTGCGCGAGATGAGCAAAAACATTGTCGGCAACCACCCCGGGAGCGGTCTCGTTGCCGCCTTCTCCCCCGAGCTCTGGGGCAAGTGGCAGAACCGGTCGATCCCCATCAGCACGGAGAACATCGACCGTTTCAAGAAGTTCACGCTTGACCAGGGCGATGTCCTGATCTTCGTCAAGGCGCCGAACCACAAGACGGCGGAGAGCATTGTGAGTGCTGTGTATGACCGTCTTGATGCCCTGTCGGACAGGATCGAGCTGGTCAAGATGGGCAAACGCAAAGACACCAGGATCATGGGCGGGCGCTATGTGGACGCCATCACCAACCCAAACGACCCCGTCAGCTTGGCCGAGGACATTCTGGTCGGCCACCCGGAGCGTGGCGGACTCCGCGGGTCTTGCTTCGGATTCACGCAAAAGTTTGAATTCGACTGGCCGGGCATCGCCACCCAGGCCGCCGACACGCAGGATGAAATGATCGGCCGCAACCCGGACGGTGCTGCCCTGCCCCAGCATGCCGTCCATTCACACGTGCACCGCGCCGCCATCCGGAACGCCAACGGCGACCAACTGAAGCTCCTCCGCCAAGCGTTGCCGTACGGCTCGGACCATAAACACGCCGGCCGGGAGGAGGGCATCATGTTTGTCGCCTTTTGCAACGACCAGCAGCGCTTCGAAGACATTCTCGCCAACCTGATCGGTCAACACCCCGAGAGACCGGTTGACAAGCTCATGACGGTCGTCCACGGAGTCTCTGGGGGCTACTGGTACGTGCCCGCTGCCGCCGAGCTGAAGGTGCCCGCCGTTGTCGGGCCCCAGGATGTCTACGAGGATCCCCATTGGCAGGTGGCCAGCCCGAACGGCTATCTCTTCTACAACTCGCGGGATTACCTCCATCAGATGGCCGAAGGCCGATATGTAGGGGGTGACCCCCCTAGCCGGCGCCTGCTCAGCTTGATGGCGAGGGCCTTCTCGCATTGGCGCGACTCCTGGATGAAGCGGCAGGTCTTCCCGCGACTCCCACACTTGGAGACGCTGGTTCCGGCCGATGATAAAGGCAAATTGATCACGACCCCGGTCCCTGTGCGCAAAGGGATGGCAAATCAACAGACCTTGGCCCATCTGCTCTCGGACCCAAAGAGCGACATCGCGCGCGACAACGGCCTGCTCCGGATCGAG